TGGTTTAGAGCTATGTTCTCCTCCTTTTCCCAACGCCTTCCTCTCCTTTGCTGCGGTGTGAGGCGCCCACGCAGGCGGGGAACGCGGCCGGTCACCGGGCGCCGTCAGCCTGCGAGAATCGGGGCGGCTTTTGGAGCAAGAGCTTTAAAACCATTCAGGAGGGAGTGGGGGGTTGGCTCTGGGTTTCTGTCAGGGTTTTGGGAGGTTTTTTGTTGTACCCCTGTAAATGGAACGTGAGCAGCAGCATCCTGGTAGTTTTTAGGCAGAAGGAAGTTGAAAACCATTCAGCCGTGACTTGGGCAGGTTGCACCAAAATCCACAGAGCTTCTCCGAGGCAAATGGGCAGGGTCTGGAGGTTTGGTGTCAAGATTTTCGGGTGTCCGTGAGCACCGTCCTGCTGTGCCGTGGTGCTCGCGGTCCCCGCTCGGTCACAGCCTCTGAGCATGCCCCCTCCCCTGGTCTGGAGGGACCCTGTGTGGTTGGGGTTTCACACAGCCGACTGCACCAACCCAAGGGGAGTCAATGGGACTGCGAGAAGGAAAAGAGACGGTGTTTTGTGTTCCCCTGCTCGGGTTTGTGTACTTCACCGATGCAGCCTCCATACTCGGCTTATGCGAGCTTCGGGTTCCAGATCATGTTCAGTTTTCAGACCTGCTGTGGTCTTTCTGCTTAAAATACATAGATGAGGGATCGCTTAGCGCTGTGCAACGCAGTGATGACGTTCAATGTGCTGATTCAGAGAAGAGCCACAAGGATGGGGAGGGCTCTGGAGAACAAGCCTGATGAGGAGCGACTGAGGGAACTGGGCTTGTTTAGCCTGGAGAAGAGAAGGCTGAGGGGAGACCTCATCACCACCTCCAACTGCCTCAAGGGAGCTTGTGGAGAGGTGGGTGCTGGTCTCTGCTCCCAGGTGATGGGGGATAGAACAAGGGGAAACGGCACCAAGCTGTGCCAAGGGAGGTTCAGGTTAGAGATAAGGAGGAAGTTCTTTACTGAGAGGGTCGTCAGAAGCTGGCACAGGCTGCCCGGGGAGGTGGTGGAGTCACCATCCCTGGATGTGTTTAAAGAGCGGGTAGACGAGGTACTTAGGGATATGGTTTAGTGGGTAGGCAGGAACGGTTGGACGTGATGATCTCAGAGGGCTTTTCCAACCGAAGCGATTCTGCGATTCTGTGATTCGTGCTTTTCATACCCTTCAGTCCACGTGTAAGTTAGGTCCTGAGCGTGCACCGTTGCTGTTGCTTGAAGTTCTTCGTTTAAGTGGCCGATGGCTTTAATCGATGTGGTGACTTTTACTCTTTGTATTGAGTCGCTGGCTGCTCTGACCTTACCTGCTCTGCTAAAAGAATGGCAAAAGCAGTTTGGCACAGAGTTCCGTGCTCTCTAAAAAGTGAAGCAGATCCTTTATTTTTCCTTTGCAAAATGCTCAGCTTGGCAAGGGTGCAGCGGCTATCAGGTAAGAGCAGAGCTGGGAGAAGGGAAGAAATCTAGTGTTCAGATCTGTGTTCCTATCCTGGAGCTTGTTCCCACTTCCAGCTCCTGGTGACCTCCTCTAGCTGGGCTGTCAACCCACGGAAACCGAGCTGTCCTACAGAAACACCAATACGTTCTTAAATGTGCAGTGGCACAAGGGCACTGCTTTAGTATCTCATTTAAATGACGGCTGATGATGACTGTTTGACTGAGTAGTTCTCATCACTGCATCCCTTTTCTCCCGTGGGATAGATCTGGCAGTCCATAAAAATGTCAGTGCATCCTCTGTGGAGGTAAACACACTGCATGCTACCGGGCTTGTTCCAGCTTGTGGATGCCTGGAAACGCCCCTTGAATGTGTTTGTGCCAGTGATGTGTACTGCGTTTTCTCAAAATACATTTTAATGCCAGTAACGGGCGATCCAGGGGCTGTTGCTGGAAGGCAAGGGAGCACAGACCGTGCCTCTGGCGATTCGGCGGGTTCCAGTACCTCAGCGCTCCGAGCTGGGTTGTGTTCGGGTCTGAGCTCTCGCTGGACTCCCTGGCATCTCGGTAACCCCGTGTGGTGAGTGACCACACGCGTGGGCTCACTGCGTGGGCGACAGCCCCCTGTGAGGTGGTGGGGTGTTCCTGCTTCGGGTGGAGGGCTGAGCTCCCGCTCCCCAGGGTCCTACCTGTTGCAGTTCACAAGATCTCTGTCGAGCAGGGCTTGGTCTTTAAAATTCCTCGTCGGGGTTGTTGCAATGTACAAAGTAGAGCAGAGATCGCCGTTAAAATTAGCCTCAGAGTATCTGGAAGGCAGGAGGGTATTCCTTGCCTAATGTTGTGTTCCACTTAATGTTCCCTTTGCTTGTTTCCTCTTAAATCTTCTTACATGCTTTGTTGTTGAGGGGTCTTCGGCGCTGCCTGTTCTGTGCTGTGAAGGAGTGAGGCCGCGTCAGTAGAACTCGGTTTAGGTAAGAAAGGAGGTCAGGTAGCGGCGCTGCGGCAGAAACCGGCTCCAGATTTGGGCAGTGCATAGAGTGACCCAGGACATGGGTGCTGTTCCCCTGGTAGGGAGCTGGCGCTGGACTGCGTCTGCTCTGCCTCAGCAGGCGCAGAGGCCACAGAGCCTCACTGGGGAGGTGGCTGACCCGAATGGCCTCTGCTGACCCCAACGGCCTCTGCTGCGGCTGCTGCCCGCACATGGGATCACCCAGGGCTCCCCACCACCACTGCATCATCGGCAGCCTCCCTCCAAAGGGGCTGTTTCGGCCCCTGGTACCGTGTGTCTGCAGCAGGCCCTGCAGACGCAAAGTCGCAAGGAAAGCTGCTGCAGAGCTGCTGTTTTCACCCCTTTTGGTGGATGTGTAAAACGTAAGAGTTAAAGCTGTTGTGATGCCATGATCTTCTGGGGCGTAGGTTTCTGGGCCCATGTTTAACCTTCATGGCTGACTTTGTACTGTGACACCAAAAGGGGGTTTGTTGCAAGTGGATCTTGTTGGCTTTGAGAGTCTGAAGGTTTTTATAGAGGGCAAGCGGCCACAGGCCGTGGCTGGCTCAGTCTGACTCTGGCCGCTGCGCAATCATTGACGGGCTTCACCCTGCGGTTTGGCCCCCGCTATTTCTAATGGGGGTATTGGTGGCAGCGTCCTAGGAAATACCGGTATTGAACACTTACATGGTGTAAAAGGTAGCTACATTGAAAGACACTAAAGACTGCATGGCTTGGTTTTTTGTTTGGGGTTCTCTGGAGTTAGCGAGAGGGGCAGTCGGTTGATCAGGCTCTCTCTGTGAGGAGTTACCAGTGTAAGTGGTTATAAAGACCAGAGCCTCAGCTCACCTCAGTCAGTGAAACTTTGCTGGTGTCAGCACGACAGGCTGGATGAGGCTCATGGAAAGCTTCCTGCACCGCAGTAAAGTTCTGGTAGGTGGTACACAGTACCTCCTGACACTGGTTAAAACTACAGTCCAGACCTTAGCTGGTGGTTTAGACTATGTTAACGTGAGGACAGACTGATTTTCAGCAGTTTCTGTCTAGTGGGTTTAAGGACAAAGTCTCTTTTAAGTGCAGTTTGATTTTCCTGAGGAGCAGGTGCCTGTGGAGTTACTGTAAAGCTGCATTTCCCATATGTATTTGTAATTTTTCAGGGTAGTTTCCTGCCCGGGGAACGCTTCTGTCAGTGCATGGTGCGCATCCCAGGCCCGTGTGGCTGTCTCCCAAAGGATGCCCTTGACAGGGTGCTCCCAGGCTGTGACAGGAACCCAGGTGGTTGGGTTGTCCTGAGCCAGGACCCAGCAAACGCGCAGACATCCGTGCTGGTAACGGGTGTCGATGGTTTCGGGGACTGAATTGCCCGGAAACGCCTCGGAGCGGTTTGGGCTCGATGTTCGGTGAGGAAGCAGCGCCACCTGCCGGCAGCGCTCCGTGTTGCGGGTTTACACCGAGTGCTCTTGAGTTTTGCTGTTAATCACGAGTATTTACTCCTCCTGTGTGTTTCACGCCATATGGAGTTCCTGCATAAACGAAAGCAGCTTGTTTTGTGTTCTACTACAATATGCCAGGCTAGAACAGGCAGGATTTGTTAAGTGGAATTCTTATTACAAATTAAAATAAAGCCGTGTCGTTCAACATACGGCGGTGATTCACATAATGACTTCTTTGACAGGCGCTCCTGAGGCGACATAAACTCAAATTTCTACACCTGACATACTCAGTGCTCTGCCAGATTACGCATTAACCTTGTTGTATTGGTGATCACAAGCCAAGCAGAGGTCAGGTCCTCATGTGTGCTTAGTACAAATGTCATAAGTAGCTGGTTTTGGCTTGCAGAATTAAATGTAGGATCAAATTTAAAGGACATCTAGTTCCCAGGGTGCCAGTAATAGCTAGAAATTGGATGGCTTTGGTACATTGCCTTTCAGCTTTTGGGAACGTACCTGCCATAACCTACGTGATCCACGCTCAGGTGTGGCTGTACGTGCGAGCACCAGGGTGTCTTCTGTAGATCGTTTCTTTTTCCCAGATCACTGAGAAAAGCCTTTGCTGTCTTTTCTGCTATTTTATGAAGCAATGCATGTGATGTGTTTGGGAGAAAGGACCGATTCCTGCTTTCTAATGTATCAGTTAGAATGTTGTTAGGACAAAGAGGGCGCTGGGGTGGGCGTGAGGACGCAGAGAGACAGGCTCCTGGTGAAGGGCAGTGGCAGCTGCGGTATCAGCATTGGCCTTCAGTGCAGATGATTCCAAGCTGCGTTCCTGTGCCCGCGTTTGTTTCCTGAAGTCGGAGGAGGAGTAGCCAATGAGTAAGTATTTCTGGATGGAGATCGGTGTTACAGGGAAACCAGATTGAAAGTGTGTGATTTACGGCCATCGGTTTGCCTGCTTGGTTTTTGTTCTGAACAGCGGCCTGACCCTGTTCCTGCAGCACTGGGTGAAAATTTCCCCTTAACCTAACGCGTAACCTAGAAAGCAGTGCGCTCGGTCCTTTCGGTTTCTGTAACATTTTGAAATGCCCTCGTTCTTACCTGAATACGTGTTCTTCCAGGGAGCTCTGAAGGCCAGGAGGTGTACGTTTTTAACCTGACGTCGCTGACCGAGTCTGAAAACATCTTGTCGGCTTCGGTGTATTACTACATTGGTGACCTTCTGCACGCCGAGCGGAACTGCTCCCAGTCCAGAGGCTGTTCTCACCACGGGCACAGGAAGCCCGAAATTCAGATACATCTGTCCCTTTGGACCTTCCCCGCTGCTGGGAACCGGACTCGCAGCCTGGGCCGCTTTCTGATGAACGTCTCGGCCGTGCAGCAGGACGCCCCGTCCTGGCGCTGGAAGGACGTCACTCGGCTCCTGCTCGCAGCCAAGCGACGCGACGAGCTCCTGATTGGCGTCAGGATGGCTCTGGCTGGCCGCCACCCCTGGACGGGGGCAGCTCCTCGCTGCCAGCCCTACATTCTGGTGTACGCCAACGATTCTGCTATCTCGGAGCCGGAGAGCGTTGTCTCGAGTTTGCAGGGCCACCGCAGTCCCCTGGCAAGGGTCTTTCCCAGGCCGGAGAGCCCCGTGCGGAGCGGCCTCGGGGAGCGGCGTCGGAAGCGCGCCGCTGGCATCCTGCTGCCGCTGCAGAACAACGAGCTGCCGGGAGCCGAGGACGGTGAGGAAGAGAAGTGGGAGCACGGGAAGCCCTTCAAAACCTTCCAGCCACAGCTGGCAGAGAGGGCGAAGAGCAAGAAGAAGCAGAGGAAGAGTCCCCACCAGAAGAGCCAGACTCTCCAGTTCGACGAGCAGACGCTGAAGAAGGCCAGGAGGAAGCAGTGGAACGAGCCGAGGTTTTGTGCCCGGCGCTACCTCAAGGTGGATTTTGCAGACATTGGCTGGAGCGAGTGGATCATTTCCCCTAAGTCCTTCGACGCCTATTACTGCTCGGGGGAATGCCAGTTCCCCATTCCTAAGGTACGGTCTGTTGTCATTCCTGTGCGCCGTCTGTCACGGTGCACTCTGCATTTTCTCTCCTGCAAAGTAAAGGCAGCCGGGCACCTGTGGCGTGTTGGGATGCGGTAAGTGCTGTCTGTGTCTTGTGCTGCGAGGAGCCGAGGTTAGAACAGCTGGTCAAAACACAGGCGTGTAAAGATAATTTAACTAATACTACATGGTAATAGCTTTTGTCCAGAACCCAAATAGCCATAAAACATTTCCTGAATAGTGCTAATGATGTGTGAACTTGTTGTTAATGTGTTTAATATACATAATACATGCCAGACATGGAAAATTGCTCGTTAGACAGGGGTCTAATAGTCTGATAGTCTAGAGCTCCCAGAAAAAGCTCATCACTGGTTTCGTTTCCCCCTGTGCTAACAAAGCCCAGCGATGCAGCGTGCAGCTCAGGTGCAGCGGCCTCGCCGCAGCCGGGGCAGGTTGGGGGCAGCTCAGCCCAGTTTCCCCCTGCTGCTCCCGTGGCGAAAGCAAATCTCTGCCTGCGTTTTGTCAGCGCTGACCCCAGGCCCCGGCCAGGCCGTTCCACCGCGTCAGGTGCTGCGGTGGGGTCTGGTTTTCCGAGAGCTGCGGCAGAGCTGGTGACTGGCGGAGCCGCGTGGGTAGGGCCGGGACAGGGCTGCCCGGGCAGATGTGGGTCAGTACGGAGGATGTGCTGTCAGGTACCCCATAAACAGATCGCTCGATGTCACGCCGTCGTCGTTCCCACCGACAGCCCCGACGGTGCTTGTAATCGGGTGAGCGCAGTTGAGTGTTTTAGTGTTTACAGTGGTCTGAGGTGAAGGGTTTCCCATAGGCCTCAACACGGCATATTCCGAGACCTGGTTTCATTTCTGGTCCCGTTGAATATGGGACAGAGCATCTCAATGGACATTTCACCTTTTGATCAGCAGGACCGGGAGAGGTGCTTGGCTCCCAGTTATTTGTGTGGAGAACACTGGTTAGGGAAACGAGCTTGGATGCTACCAGAGCTTTCACTTCCTTTGGCAGGCAGAAGTTACCCAGAAATGTGAACTGTATATTCATCTAGGACATCTTTTACATCTCGATAAACTACTGCTGAGGAGCAGATGCGCCCTCGACTTAAAAAGATCGGTATGGGTCTGAGTAATGTCTCTGTTTACACTGGGCTTGGATCCTGAGTGCACTTGGGCAGTTCTGAGTCTCTCGGAGCATAGATGGAAGCAAGGGACGTGCAGGATCAGCACCGCTTGTCGCTCGGTCTCCCTGCATGCCAGATAGGTTCCTCTCTAGAAGAAGCAAATACTTTTGAACTGTGTTACCAGGTACATAAAGAGCCGCTGAACGCTCGCAGCGAACCCTTTCGGTTCGGTGTCAGGGGGGTCCAGGTCTGTCTCTAGATGAGTTTCAGCCATGTGGTGTGGAAAAAGCCCTTTCTGGTTAAGTGGAGTTGGAGGAACCGCTGTCTGATGAGAAGGAAGGAGAGTGTAGCTGGTGTTAGAGTGAGCTCGGCGGGTCAGACGCTCGTGTGCGTGGTTACTCCTGGGTGTACTGACGTGCTGCTAACGGTGCAGTGAGACACAACCTCGCGGTCACTGCTGGGCCTTCTGCGTGCGAGGTCATTGAGACCCGCAGCTTGGGTGTTGGATATCTGACCCTTCAGGTTGGTTTTGCCAAGAGCCAGTCGTGTCTCATCGCATCACAACGGCAAACTGCAAAGGTGGCCTGAGTGATTGTGTTCCCTGTATTTCTCGGTGAGGTCCGATTGAGCGTATTTAACTACGCAATACCCGGGTTGTGTGTGTAGGAAGAGCTCAAGAAGGAAATTTTTAAAACTTCACTGTTACAAAAACGTAAGTCATTGGCTAAAAGTGCATCTTCTGCGTTTTTCATGCTCCCCTGTACACTGTACACTTTTCACACTCCCCTGTCCTTCCATGCTCCAAGTACAGATACTTGGATTTGGAAGTGTTTGGGGGTTCAGAGGAGAGAATATATTCATTCCTCATTTCTAGGAACGTATTGGTTTTTGTTAGTGTATTAATATAATCTGGGTTTTTAAACAGACACAGCTGTCTGACTGGTCAGATCCACTTTCTGTTCATACCGAGCCGAAATGCGTTCCTATTTACGTGAGTACCAGTGCAGGAAACGCCGTCCCTTGGCCAGCTGCTCACCGGTCGCTTTGCCTGCCTCGCTCCCGGCCGCACGAGTTTTGAGAGCGGCTTGCAGCCCCCGTGTAAGCGAACGCCCTCACGAGAGGCTGCCCTGGCCTGTAGCGCACCCAGGGTCCTCTGCCGCGGCAGGCCCAGGGAGCGCCCGCGGCCCCGTCCCCAGCAGGACAGGGTTGGTGGCAGCTGAGAATAAATGGATAGAAGGTGAATTTTAGGGCTGTTTGGGTCTGCACCAGGCCCTTCTTCAAGAGAGGAGATTTTCTTAGGAGTGTGTGTCCGTGCTGGTGGGGTGCAGTTACATTTTCTGCTTCTCTTTCTCCTGCAGGCCTTGAAGCCGTCCAACCACGCCACCATCCAGAGCATCGTGAGAGCCGTCGGCGTCGTCCCGGGCATCCCCGAGCCCTGCTGCGTTCCCGACAAAATGTCTTCTCTCAGCATCTTGTTCTTCGATGAGAATAAAAACGTGGTGCTGAAGGTGTACCCCAACATGACAGTGGAATCCTGCGCCTGCAGATAACATCTCGGGACACGCTGCCGAAATGCCGAGGCGATCGCTGCCATTTGCTGGGAGTGTTTCTCGTGATGTCTCCTTTTTGTTTGCACTGCCGATGCATTTCCTTTGGACCAAAAAAAACCCCCAAAATGTACAGAAATCCCAACAAGAGGATGGAAATGGAATGCACTCCTAGGAGCAATTTCAAGGAAAGAGAACATGACCTTTGGGCTTTTGTCTCCAAGTTTGATCAAGGCGTTGGTCTTGGCAATGGGGGATGGACTGTTTCTGTTTAAATGGAGAGATGAAAGAGGAGCGTTCGGAAGATTCCTCAGGATTTTTGGGACTGCCAGAAGAACATACTGATCTATTTTTGTACAAGATTTCAGAAACTGCAGTAGCTGTTAATTTTGTCTCCGTTCTGACGGTAACTAACGGGAGGGAGATGAGAAGTACGCTATTATTCATTTTAAAGCTGAGCTCTCTGCCTTAGGTTGTCAAGTAGTGCAGGCAGTAAGAAACACAAACCCGACAGTCCAAGAGCCTCGGATAATCCACGGCAGAGGCGGACGTGCCTGGTTCGACGTGTCAGCGGCTGCACGCGCGTGTCCGTTTTCGTCAGCGCGTTCCTCCCTGCTCAGCTCATCGGACGTCAGCGCCCTCGGCCTGAGGAGCGCGGGTCACATCTCTGCTGCGTGTGGAACTGTGGTGTCTGCCGAGGGAAGACTCCTCTTTCGCGCCGCTTTGGGCACTCGGCAGGCTAAGGGAGTATGAGCGTGTCGGGCCGGGGGGAGCTGCCGAGGGACTTGTGGTTAACGCTTCACTGCGTAGATTAAATAACCGATGAGTAAACTACGGTAGCTGATTCCTGACCTGAAATTACTTGGCGCGTAATTCTTATCTGTAGGCTTCCACTACTGTTATTCGATCGAAACTGGCTCTGGTCGATGAGTTTCGATGGTAACCCTATCACATAGGAGCTTTTTCTCTCTTTCCTTATCTCAGTTCACTTCTGCTCTGAACATCACGTCCGTTGTACCCACACTGTCAGTTTAAGCTTTCTTGCCAGCAGGTTTTGCACAACAAGAGCACAACACCTTCTCTCAGTGAGTTTATCCACTAGAAAAATACAGTTGAGAAACTACAAGGCGGGAAAGAACAAACGAGTGAACCTCGGACACGGTGTGACGAGTCCCGGCTCCACGCTACCTTCAGTGAACCGTTCGTGAGACGTTTTATGCACACAACTTGTTTTGTGGTTGTTTTTTCAAACGAAACTTTCTAAATAAAGCCCGTCTGGTACCTGTAATGTGTTTGTCACGCCGGCAATGCGTGCTGTATGTAACTCTGTGTTATTAGGGTCTTCAAAATAATTTCCAACTGACATTTTTAATCGCCCTTACAATCTCAGATCAGCACGGGGCGCTTTTCCCACCTGTTCTGTTTGTTTGAAATACTGTTATGTGGCAATTAGCTCTTCTTCCCGTCCAGTTACGTGGGAAGTAAAGCCTGCGCGTTGTGTTTCGGGCTGGCTCAGGAGATCGTCTGGAGCTACGCATGCTCTCTGCCTGGAGGCTCTTCTGGGACCACTGTGGACCCTGGGAGGAGTGGACTCTGAGGAGGCCACTGCAGAAAATCCCCCTCCGTGGGGCCGAGCAGGGAGTCTCGGGGTAAGTGTGCGAAGTACAGAGCCCAGAACGCAAAAGCCATCCTGCACGGTGAGGCCGGTCCGCGGGAGCACTGCCTGCGCCAGCCGATGAATGCCGTGATGGCTTCCCCCGGCCGCGGCAACA